TCTCTGCACGGCCCTGGATGGGAGTTTGACTTCCCTAATAAGCTAAACCATAGTGAATTGTGATTCAACTCCCAAAACCATTATCCTTTCAGAAACCTAACCAATTAAGTTTAGAGACTAAACCTAGAGAAAAACTGAGAAAGTAAAATTAAAACTAAAACAAAAGAAAGATCAAATATAAGGAGAAAAAATGGTCTCACAATGGAGTCAAGACAAACACCACCAACCTTCTTTGTTTTTAAGATTTTTGGTTTTCACTAGAAACTTAAAAGAGCATTTTTTATGGGAATGTAGTTTTCATATGTTGTATATTTAGGGTTAAACTGCTATTAGTTGTTCCCTTATTCACAAGTTGTCAAGACAGTAGGTAGCCCTGCATGTTTTTGCCTTAGATGCCCTCCCTGACACAACCCCAAAGGGTTTTAAGTTTCACAGGATTGAATTCAGATATGACTTGTTAGGTAAATGTATAAACCACAACACCATAGAGCCACTATTAAAGTGTGTGTCTGTGAAGTTCCCTCTGGGATCAATAAAGTTATTCTTATGATCTAACCTCGTCCACACATTATAATAGTTCCAGGTGGGCCAGTCACTCCAGGTGCTCCGGTTGGTCCATAAGGTCCTGGAATTCCATGTAGTCCTGTAGGCCCTCGAGCCCCTAAAGTGAAGATATAAACACATCAAATAAGATGTGAAGTTCATACCAATGTTTCCAGTTTCTGGTTTTCCAGAGAAATTTTTTTACCCTGTTGTTGTTTATAAATGCCGTCCATATAAGGTGGGGAAAATGATCATGTACACAACACAACAATGTGAAAAAATCCATGTTGGAGTCAAATTGTTAAATGTTGCCAATATTGTACTTAAATTTGTAAGTCTTGGTTCAAACTATGTGATCAAAGACATTCCTTTGTTTCTGACCCCCTCCCCAGCCTGTTGAATGGTCGGGGAGGCTATAGATTTTTATTATAGGCACATCCTATGTGAAGGTTCAGCTTTCTTGTTTAGTAAACTTCCTGCCTTTATGACCCTTTTGTGAGCAGGAGGTCACACAAACGCACCCCCAAACACAAACACACATACTCATGCGCACATAAATACACATATACAAGGATTTTTTTCCCCTTAATAATAAACCCCTTTATTAAGAAATTGCATTTTGTATTTACTTGTTTTATCTTTGTCTAATATTCAAATTTGTTTGATGATCGAGAACATTTAAGTGTGACAAACATACAAAAGAAATATGAAATCAGGAACGCAGCAGACACTTTTTCAAACCAGGGCTTACTTTTTCCCAAATATATTGTAGATATATTGATCCAGAAGGGGGGCCAAATTCAAATCCCAACACATCACCACTTACTGTCACGGTCCTGGCTCGGTGACCCAGTGTTTTGTGTTGTTTATTATTAGAAGTCTTTTCTTTTGTCTTATTTAGAGTCTCTAGTCTTTGGTTTCAATGTTATTTAGAGTTCTTAGTCTTTTGCTTTCTGTCTCTGTATTCAATGTTTGCTCTGTCTCCCCTGTCAGCCGTATCCCCTTGTCAAGTTTGCATCTATGCGTTACATGTGTTCCTGCTTTACTTTGACAGTCTGTGTCCTATGTCAGTGTATTCTGTTTTGCTTCCTCCCTGTTTGGTCTGATTAGTTACAGCTGTGTTCGCCTCCTGTTTGCCATTTCCTCATTACCCTCTGTATATAGTGTGTGTTCTCCTTTGCTCCTTACCAGATCCTCTGTTCATCGTCCTGTGTGAATCCCCCCCCCACACACCCAACACTTCTAGGTTTCAGGTTTTTTGTAATGTTTTTGAGGCTTCCCATATTATTATATTTAGCTTCACCCAGTTTAGGTTTTTGTAGCATTTTTATTTCTTCCATTCATTAGTTGTTTTGCAGTCTTTTGTAGAGCCTCTAATAAAGGCTGGCTTTCAGTTTAAAAGTTCTCATGCATCTGTGTCTGCGTTTGGGTCCACATTATCTTATCTCCACGTGGATTGCCTTCCAAACCGTGACACTTAGGGCACTGTCATGATGCTGCTGTTTGGTAGGCTGGGATTGGACCCAAATGCAAGACTCCAGAGACCAAACTCAAAAAGGCAGTTTTACTACTCTACTTTAGTAGTACAAAATACCAAACTAAAGAAATTAAGAAAATCTGACTACAAGGAAACACGGAACAAGAAAGCACCCAATATGACGGGAGGATTGACGATGATGTGATAAAGAACAGAGGCACATTCAGATAATATACACAGGAGGAAATCAGGGCAGTTCGAACACACCTGGGGCACACATGTCAACAGAATCTAACTGAAAGAAACCTACATACATAACATACACAACACAAGTGACTATAGCAATAAACTAGGAAACCAACACTGACATGGAGACTGAGACACACAAACCTGACATAGACAAGGGAAAATTACATGGAGACATCACTGACAGGGTAAACAAGGCAAACTACAGAGACAGGGCACAGAGGGATCAAAGAGACACAGGGACTCAACTGTGGAGAAAGAAGGTGAATAAACATGGAAGCAAGACCGAAAACATACACGGGTCACTAGGGAAGACACACAGATGCTAGACTAAGAAAACCTGGGCTTGAAAACGAACAAAGAACTAAGAACTAAACACATAAATAATTAAAATAGGAAGCACTGGGAAATACTAGACACAAAAGACTAAACAATGTAGAACTATAAAGAAATCACATAAACCTCAAAACAACATTCAACAGTCCAAAATCAAAAAAACACTGGGTCAAATACCCAGAACCATGTGAGGCACAAATATATTAGACCATGAAGTAATTTCCAGGAAAATCTGTTTGTTTTTTAATTGAAGTATTTGTTGAAGTACTGCTTACCGCAACTTACTGCATTTGGATTAAAAAAAAAAAAAAAACAGATTATTGCTTGAAAATGTATTGTGCAGTTTATTTAGGTTTTTTGGTGGAAAAGAATCACACTGATAATGTAAAATTTTTAAAAACCTATAAAAAGTCGTGTACAATACACTTGGCATTATGGGGTTAAAAATAACCCTGCCTGAGAGTGTATTTGGGGGGATGTTTATCACACTCACCAGGTTCTCCTTTCAAGCCTTTCTGTCCTTGTTTTCCAGGTTCTCCATGTGCCCCGGGTTCTCCAGGTGACCCAGGTGGGCCTTCAGGTCCAGGAGGACCAAAAAGCTGACTGTAGCCCACAGGAGCCATGAGGCAGAAGGTTATGACAAAAACAAATGGCTTCATCTTCTTTATGCAACTCTGAAATGTGACATGTTGGAAATTATTTTCTAATGAAAATCGTCTTCAATTTTTATGATAATTTAAATAAATGAAATCATAGAAAAATAACAGTTTGTTTGGTTGCAGGTTTTCAGCTGAATAGAAAAAACTGTACTTTTTAGAGACAAATACTCACAGTTTAAATGACGAATGACATGGATGTGATCCTTCTTTGCAGCTTCCAAACAGAAGTGGCAAAGAAAAAAGTCAAAGTCAGATATATAAGACATCCAGCCCAGCTATAATGAGAAACAGGTGAAGAAAACCAGAGTCTGCCTCTGGTGTCATAATCGAGAGTTCACTTACAACCAATGCCTTTTAAAAGCTTTTCCTTCCACTCACAAAAGACAAACCACTGTGATCAGTCAAACGTGAATAATCAAAAGGCCTGCATTCCTAGATCTGAAATATAGCAGGGTTTAGATGAAAGATAAATAGAATCTGATCAGTAATGTTGGTTCAGTATTGGTGAAAGATTTTCTTATTTACAGTTTATGTTAGTGTTCTGATCATAATTCCAATTGACATTTAGTAAATAGGATCAAGCAGTAATTTCACAGTTAGTAGAAAGGATAGCCAGATGCAGATGATGTAATTTTTCTAAACTGAATTTTTATAAATGTAAATTGCAAAGTTATTCAGTTATGTTAGTGTCAAATAGTATTAAAATGAAAATAAAATAGAAACTCACCATTATACGTAAGTAGTTATCGACTAGTTGTGCTGCTTCATGTACAGCTTTAAAACAATTTCAGAACCCAAAGTCAAAAATATCTGACACTCTTTAGAGAGGAAATAAAAACCAGGTGAGTATTTTGTTGGACACAGAAAAGAGGGGGGCGGGAGGCCCAAAGCCTGCCTCTTTTTAGCTAAAACACTCTGAGAAAGACAAATATGTGTATCATAAAACAAATTGTAGTTCAAACTTTACTATTTTATTATATTAAACCACAAAGAACACAGACTTATCTTTGATGAAACATATATTTTACATAACTGTATAGGTCCAGGTCATGGTAATCTGAGGAGCTTGGAAAGAAAAACCAGAGGACTGTTTTAAATTTCTTGAAGACATTTTGTCTCTCATCCAAGAAGCTTCATTAAGTCTGAGACCAAATGGTGGAGACTCCCAGGATTTTAAGCGCTAGTGGGAGTTTTCCTTCAAGAAGGTTGTTGAGCCATTATTGATCATGTTACTCATCACGTGTGGCAAGGTTTGAAAAAGAGTGTGGGTGATTATTATCAGCGCTTTCAGGTGAAACCACTGTGAGACCTTGCCTCACCCTATCATGTGACTTACTGAGATCAACTGACACAAGATGTGAGTGGGCATTAAGGCACCTGAGAAGGGATCTCAAAACTGGATTATAGGTGATAGACAGTTGGTGTCTGTGACACAAAGGACCCAGAAGTACACACTGTTAACAGGTTGGTTACATTTTATTTGCCACTTTTTAAATAATTCTGATCAGCTTTCAGCTGGCATGTTCATGGTGCAGCCTTTTTCTCTCCTGTCGCAGCTGGTAACTGAAATAGCAGGACTGATCACACCAACCAGTCCCAGCTGGTCTGCCAGCCTTCTGGCACTGCCCACCGGACACACTGCCCTACCAGTCCTCTGCAGCAGAGCTGCAGACCACACCCCTGCCACATAACTCCAGCACCCAACTAAGGCCAGAGAGCCATCCGGGCGACCCTACCACCCACAAGAGGGAGAGGAAATCAGCCATGACCACCTTGAAATGAAAAGACTGGAGAGCGAGATATCACTGGGTGATTCAGTAGATCCCAGTGGGGATTCAAGATGGCGTCTGTGTGTGGCTTGCCATCAGCTGTTACCCGTTTTGATTCTACTAACCCTGCTTATATCTGTTTTTCTCAACAATGTCTCTACTCTTTTGGTGTATGATTTCCAATCGCTATTAACCATCCGAGCCACTGTTGATGGGCAGTATCATATGGCCCCAGGAGGTGAGGATTACTGAGTCCCCCCTGTGGTAGAAACCGTACCACTGTTTCTCCGCCGTTATCCACCTAGCCTTCCCCTCAGGAAGAAATCCTGCAGAAGGCGAGGGAAACGGGGTGGAATACTGGTAAAACTCAGAAACTGCGTCGCTACTTACACGGCACCCTCGGACATCAAGTTGTTCATCTCCTGGAATCGGCACCCGTTCCTGATTCCAGGGAGCATTCCAGAGAAGATATCCAGCATTCCAGGGAAAATATCCAGCTTCCACGGTATCCTTCCCCACATCTTCGCAGGAGTGAAGTGGATTACCAGAATCTTCGCCCTCTGGATCGATCATTCGAGCCCACGGTGAATACTACATTAGCTAAACTGGCCCTGGTTAACGCCAGGTCGTTGGCTAAAAAGTCATCCTGAAATGACTTTTTCACCACTCGCAATTTGGACTTTCTCCTGATGACTGAAACGTGGCTCACCTTGGGTGACTTAAGCTCGTTTTCTGAACTTTCTGCTACTACCTCAATTCACCCCGAACCACAGGCCGGGGCGGCGGATTAGCCACTGTTTATAAAAACTGTTTCAACTGTCGTCAGTTACCAGCAGACGCCTACAGCAGCTTTAAACTGCAGTTATTTGAAATTTGTTTGTCTACTCTTGTGCCATGGGCGCTAGTGTATCGACCTCCGAAATATAATAAGGACTTCATACAAGACTTTTCTGAATTCTTGACAAGAATTTTACCAAGTTATGACAGTATTTTAATTGTGGGGGATTTTAACATTCACATTTGCTGCCCAAACACTCCACTGGCCAATGACTTTTTTAATCTGATAGATTCTTTTAATCTTGTTCAGTCAGTTAACGGCCCAACATGTGAACGTGGTCATACTTTGGATTTGGTCCTATCTTGTGGCCTGTCACGTCTTGACATTGAAATCTGTGACTTAATTTTTTCTGACCACATACCTTTAGTATTTGAGTTTCCTCTCTTAGGTCAGCCCATCAAATCAGATGTGCCTAAATACAGATTTCATATGATTAACTCAAATACTTCAGATCGCTTCTCTTGTTTGTATAAAAATTTAAATCTTGCATTACTTGCAAATAGGCCCACCCATTTAACTATTGACAACCTACTCTCGCTCAATCACTTCTTCTATCTCCCGGTGGGACACATCGTGCAGCATCCTGTCCTTCCATTGTAGTTTCTCTTCTTGCTCCTCTTCTTTCTTGGGTTTCTGCTGCCTGAGGTGCTCACTAAGCACATGATCATCTCTGGTTGCATTTGCAGCTTTCCTAATGGCTCCTCCATGGTTCCTGTTCGCATGTGGGATTCCAAGGTACTCATAGTGATCCTCAGTGTCTAGTGTTGCTTTTGGGTACTGCATTCGTCTCATTTCTGACTCTCTTTCTTCTATTTGTTACCATTCAACTCTACTTTTCCAGTCTGAATGACATTCCGATGTCATTACTGTAGATCCTGGTGTTATGGATCAGTGATTATGTCATCCCTTTAAAGGAGGTGAATAATACTTGCTCCATTCAGTCTTGTTAATGATCTGGCTGCAGGGTTCAGGCCTATGAAGAGCGGCAGTGAGGACAGAGCATCTCATTGGTAAATCCTACAGTTTATGGTCATTTGCGCAGTTGGCTTGACATTTGCCTCTAGTGTTGTTTTCACATCCCCATTGAATTCATTTGGGTCATGTGGATCTTGTACAGTTCTAACCATTCCAGGATGCATGTATAAGGCATTGTGTCATAGACTTTCTTGTATTCGCTTTCATGTCATGCTGAGGTAGGTCATTTGTTGGTTGTTCCATGGGACTGGTCCTTTCTGGGGACATTTCGACTTTTGGTGAGCCATTCTGGATGCATCTCATCTATTAGCTAGTTCATTTGTGCTGTCAGGTGCTCAAGGAGAGCAGTTGTTTACATTCTTACATTACTTAATGTTTACCTGCACTGTCAGTTGAGAAATCATTGTTGGGAAATCACGGACCTCCTAAACACATCACTGAGGTCAGCTGTGGTACCTGCATGCCTCAAAACCACAAAAATCATCCCAGTGCCAAAGAAGTCCACTGTGTCCTGCCTCAATGACTACCGGCCGGTGGCACTTACACCCATCATCACTAAGTGCTTTGAGAGGCTGGTATTGAGGCACATGAAAACTCAGCTTCCACTGAATCTGGACCCAATACAGTTTGCTTATCGCCAACATAACATAACATCATCCACAGATGATGCCATCTCATCTGCTCTTCACCTTTCTCTCTCCCATCTTGACAAAAAGTTGTTTATTATTAAGTTGTTTATTGACTTCAGCTCAGCATTCAACACAGTCATTCCCCAGGAGCTGGTAAAGAAGTTGGACTCACTAGGAATAAACACCTCCCTCTGCAATTGGATCTTGGACTTCCTAACTGACAGGCCCCAGTCTGTCTTTATAGGAAATAAAATCTCCAAAGTCATCAGACTGAGCACAGGATCGCCGCAGGGGTGTGTGCTTAGCCCACTGCTGTTCACCCTGCTAACACATGACTGTACTGCACAGTACAGCTCAAACCACATCATCAAGTTTGCAGATGACACAACAGTGGTGGGTCTTAGCACCAACAACGATGAGTCTGAATACAGAGAGGAGGTACAACACCTGGTAGACTGGTGTCAGAATAACAACCTGTCTCTAAATGTTCAGAAGACTAAAGAGATGGTTGTTAACTTCAGGAAGCTCAACGACCCACACCCCACTGCACATCAATGGATCTGCTGTTGAGATGGTCAACAGTGTGAAGTGTGATCTCCCAACTCTATGACAGACACATCATTCGACGTGCAAACAGCATAGTGAAGGACACTTTCATCCCCTCACATGCACTGTTCTCCCTCCTTCCATCTGGCAGACGGTTTCGCAGCATTAAAACCATAACGACCAGACACTGCAAGAGCTTCTTCCCCCCAAGCAGTCAGAGCCCTCAACTCACTACCACAAAAAGGACTGATGTAAACATACACTTCTACAAACACATTACGATAATCATCAAAAGATGATGCCATCCTGTACCTCCTGCATAGAGCCCACTCACACCTCGATGGGGGAAAAGGCAC